CCACAGCCGCATCCCGGCGGACTCTCCTCGGGCGCTCCCGACACTCACAGGCCTCCCGACCCCGGCGCGCTCCTCTGCCCTCCATGTTTCGCCTTCTTCCAGGTTTGAATCTCCCGCCGCTGGGCCGCCGCCCCTCGCCGCCGCCAACCTGGGAAGGGCTGTTTCCGGTCCGCTACGCAGGGAACTCTGGGATTTGTAGTTTCAGGCCGCAGAGAGCCGCATCCAGGGGGCGGGGGGTAGTACAACACCGGTACAGAGGCTAGGGAGGAGCCTCGGAAGCTGGGAAGATCCACACCGTAAATCCCGGTGCAGGCTGACTTGGCTTGCTGTTCCTCCAAGGCTCCTTCTTCACCAAGCCGGCTCATTTCAGGTATCCCTTGCCTTCATCGTTTCCCCTAAAGCTCCCTTTCACCCTGCTCAGCCTCCCACAGTACTCCTGGGTCTCCTTTTATGTGCCTGCTTGGTGTTGTGCGCTAAGTCAGATGGTGGATGCAGAGACACAAACATTGTTAAGGCTCTAAGAATCCTGCTGTTCTGGCACAAGTCCTAGACATATAGTCAAACAAATTAGAGGTCCGTGATGCCCAGGGAAGGAAGTCTTTGGATTAAAGGGCTACGCGTTCTTCCTAGTGCCAGCTGATCTGCGCGGAAAAATAAAGGCGATTTATCAGAGTCAAGGAGAGACCCTGCTTTAATTTCTTTTCTCTCGTTGCTGAGACAAAATATCCAACACCCAAAATTAAAGGGGAAAGGGTTTGTTTAGCTCACAGTTTGTAGAGGTTTCAGTCCATAGTCAGCTGGCTCCAAGGCAGGGCGGCTTGGCAGAGGAGAAACAGTTAATGGTGGCCAGAAGGTAACAAACAACAAGGGAAAATTAACAGCATCTTTGTGTCCCTGTTATCTTATCCAGACTACTGCGATTAGGGAGGTGCCAAACCAGTCAGTGGCCAGTTAGTAATACTGTCCCCTTAATCCTAGCACCACACACTGTAGATACAGCCACCTCTGAAAAAGCCTCCTATGACTGCATGAGGCTTTGGGGGACATCTAGACCCAAACCATAACCTTCCGCCCCTGGACCCCCAAAGACTCATGTAAATTCCTTTACACAAAGGATATTTAGTTTATCGCTAAGATTGCCAAAGTCCTAACAGTTTCAGCATTGCTGAAAAATCCAAGTCCAAAGTCTCCCCTGAGATATAAGGCAAACTCTTAGCTGGGAGCCCCTGTATAAATGAAAAGAAAGTCAAACACTTCCAACATTCAAAGGCACAAGATAGACATTTCCATTCCAAAGGTTACAAACAGGGATAAGAAGGAATGGGAATATAGCAAGTCCAAAGTCCAGTAGGGCAAACATTAAATCCCACAGTTCCACTTCCAGCATTCCTGGCAATCTGTGGCAAATTGTGAACTCCAAAGGGCTGAGTGTCTACACCGCTACAGCACTGGCAGTGGTTGCAGCTCCCAAGGCTTCTCTCTTGGGCCGGCTCTGCTCCCTCCTTGCAGCTTTCCTCAGATGATCCACGCTCCTGGCTTCTCCAAACTTCAGGGTTCTTCACTGCACCTTTGGCTTCACACTCACAGCTTCACACATTACCCTCTCATGGGCACCCTGCCCGGCCTCCCAGGACTCCTTTGAAAATCTGGGTGGAAGCCTTCCCGACCCCACAACTCTTGCATTCTGCATGCACCTAAAACCAGTGCCGGTGGATGACGACAAGGTCTGCTGCCAGTTGGAGCAGTAGCCAGCCTTCCTTGACTTGGTTGTAGGGGCCCAGTGCCTATGAACCAAATCCTAAGGAATAACTTTCCTGGGATGTTGCCATTCTGGAACATGTTGCTGCAAGACTTTCTTCTCAAAGCAAAATCTTTCACTTATGTGAATTTAAGGCTGCAAAAGATAGAGTCCTGCTGCTTTCCATGATGCCCTCATGTCATCTTTTCTAGTCTTGTTTCTTCTCAACAATCAAGATCTCCTCTGTTCCATCTTTGCAAGCTACAACTTTACTGGAGCTTTCTTTCTGACCAAACTCAAAACATTTTATTTTATTTTTATTTATTTTTTGGTGCCAGGGATGGAACTCGGGTCCTTGCACTTCAAAACATTTTAAATCATTCTTCTGGGCTCTTTGCTCTTGGTTCTTGACATAGATCTGGTTAAAAGCCCCAACAGTAGCCATGCCACTGCCTCAATATTCCATTGCCCTGAAATTTCTTCTGCCAGATTAGTCTGCTGCCTTTAATCTCTGGAAAAGTCTCTGGACATGAGCAAAATGCAGACAAACTTTCTGAGAAGGAATGACACACATTTTCTGGATTCCAACAGCCAATGCCTTCCTTCCCAGCAGAATCCTCCCAAGCTGGGTCTTTACTGGCTTTCTGATCTTCTGAGCTCTGACCAGAATCTTCCGTATAGAACAACCTAAGGTGTTCCAGCTCTACTTCTACAGCCAGTGTCTCTGAATCTTTCCTAACTCTTCCCCTCCCCGCAATCCAGTTCCAAAGCCTCTTCAGCCACATGGACACGTAATGTCACAGCAATGACCCCACTTCTGGTACCAAATTTCTGTGTTAGTTACTTTGCTATCATTCCTGAGACAAAATCCTCCACATCCAAAGTTAAAGAGGAAAGGGCTTATTTACTCAGTTTGTAATGGTTTCAGTCCATAGTCGGCTGGCTCCAAGGCAGGGTGGCTTGGCAGAGGAGAAACAGTTTCTGGTGCCCATGAGGTAGCAAACACAAGGGAGCCTTAACAGGATCTTTATGCCCCTTTTATTTTATTTTTGAGACAGGGAGTCACTTTATGATTCAGGCTGGTCTTGAACTCACTATGTAGCCCAGGCAAAGCAATCTACCTGCCTCTGCTTCTTCAGTGCTAGGATTACAGTCATGCACCACCATGCCCAGCATCTGCCTCTTTTATCTTATTGAGACTGCTGGGATTGGGGAGGTGCCAAACCAATCAGTGTGCTGGTTTAGTAATCATATGCCCTTAATCCCAGCATCACACACTCTAGATTCAGCTACCTCTGAAAAAGCCACCTATGACTGCCTGAGGCTTTGGGTGACATTGAGACCCAAACCACAGCAGAGGCATTCTAACCTGTGCGGACAGCCGATGCAAGAGCAAGGCATTGGCTTCAGAAAATGAAACTCAGCTCAGTTTTAGGGGAGAGCAGGGTTCAGCCAAGGAGAAGCAGGAAGGAAATCTCAGGGCCCTTGGCATCTTCCTAAGGTGCTGGGGTGAGGTCAGGTAAGCAGTCAGCAACCAAGGAACACTAGACATAGGTCTCAGTAAGAATTATGTTGTAGAAAGATCCCTCTTAACCTCAGGGGCTTGGAGGAGGATGAGACTGGGGACAGAGACCGTACAGGAGGCTATTGCAATAGCATAGATTGGAAATAATAAAGACCTGAACTAATAAATAGTTCAACAACAACTGTACTGAAAAAAATACAGTTGACCCCCAAGTTATGACTGGCCTCACTTACAAACAACTTGGGTTATTAGGTTAATGGAAGATTCATTTGCCTCTTGTTATGTAAAGCATGTACTCAGGTAAACATCCAGATCACAGCTGTATTGACTTACAACTAGCACCCCTCGGGAACCAATCAAGTTAGGAAGTCAAGGGTTCACTGCATTTTCGGGTATATTTTCTGATGTTTCCCTCCTCTACTCTTTCTTCCTTTATCCTTCCCTGATGCTTCATATCAACAGCCAGGCAGCTAAGCTCTCAGCACTGGGGGAGAATGTGAAGGGGCAGAAAACAGAAAATAGCCAAGCATACAGCCTTTAGAGGACAAAGATTCAGAGCTGAGACAAAACTGGACAAAATAAGGTTTGAAGATAGCAGGTATTCCCTTAAAGACCAGAATGGATTTCCTTGGCCTCTTGCCAGCTAAGAAAATTAGAGGCAGTCTGGATATTGATGGCTTCTGGCAACAGGGTCCCCCCTCCCTGCTTCCCGGGAAGATCTATGGGAATACAAAACCCTGAGAAGAAAGTGTCTTAGATACTTTTCTTGTTGCTAAGACAAAATACCTAACAAAATACCTGGAGGAGAGGTTTATTGTAGCTCAGTTTATAGAAATTTCAGTTCATCGTTGCCTGGTTCTAAGGCAGGGTGGCATGGCAGTGAAAAACAGTTCATGGCAGGCAGAAGTCAGCAAGCAGTGAAATATCAAAGCAGCAAGTGAGGACAGCTGCCCCCTTTCTCCCTCTTACATTCTATCCGGGCTACCAGCTCTTAGGGCAGGTAGCACTCATACCTAGCATAGGCTTTCCTTTTATTCACATCCAGGATTATGATAAACCAATCTGTGGACCAATTTAGCAATCACACACTCTTGATCCCAGCACCACACATGTAAACCCAGTGTCACATGACCTACATCCAGCCACTTCTGAAAAGCTATGACCACCTGCAGCTCTGGGGGGAACTTTCAAACATAAACTGTAGACAAGGGTTGCATAATGAATCAGGTGTTATGCACTTAGATGTGTAGAAATTCCCTGACCAAGCTGGAAAGGAAGTTCCTAAATGAGTTATTCCCTCTTTTTTTTTTTTTTTAAGCAAGAGTCTGGCCTTGAAAGGGTCCACAGGTGAGAAGAAACTGAATGGACACCCTGGGGAAAAGGAGAGGGCACAACCCAACCCCTAAGCTGAATCACTTTGTGTTCAACATACCAGCAGAATAGGGACTTGAAACCAACTGAGTAGAGATGTATTTCTTTTGTTTGTTTGTTCTGTTGGGTTTTGTTTGTTTTTTTGAGAGTCTTGCTGCTTTGTTCAGGCTGTCCTTGAACTCACTGTGTAGCCCAGATACTTGCAGCAATCCTCCTGCCTCAGCCTCCTGAGTGCTGGAATAGCAGGCATGCACTGGCACATCCAGCATAGAGATGCATTTCTTCCACACCAGAATTATGTACTGTTGTGGTTTATAGCTGGATGCCCCACCCAAAGCCTCACATGCTCATGAGTGGGGCTCTGAGGAGGTGACTGGATCCTGGGCGTGATACAGGGTTAGTCCCCTGATGATGGGTTTACAGCGGGGTGTGATGTTGGGCAGGGAAACGTGATGGAACAAAGGAGGTCCTGGTGGGTTTGGCCTGGAAGGGAGTTTGTGGATACGTTCTTCTCCCTTAGTGAT